TAATTATAAGTTATTAAAATATAATAAACTCACTATTCTTGGAATGATTATTTAATTAACATTAATCAAATCAATTTGTAATTGCTTTTCTAATAACAATAACTTTTTAATATTTTTTTAATATATTATTAAGTACTTATTTTTGTACTTGTATTTTTTTAGATTTTTTTTAAATTTTTAATATATGATTTTTTTGTGTTTTATTTTAATTTTTTTATTTATAATTTCTTTTTTTAAATTTTTAATATATAACTTATTGCATTATATTTTAATTTTTCTATTCACAATTTAATTAATTAGTTAATTATTATATAAATATATTTAGTTTTAATAAACTTTAAAATGGAATACAAAAACATTTATATTTCTCTTTTATTAAAAGTAACTATTTAGTAATTTATTATTATTTGTAATATTTATATTTGAGTCACAAAATTAAAGTTTATATGATTTTATTCATTATTTATAATTCTTATACTTGAATCAAATAATTGAACTTTACTCATTATTTGTAATATTTATATACTTGAATTAAATAATTAAACTTTATCTATCATTTATAATATTTATATGCTTGAATTAAATAATTAAATTTTATCTGATTTTATTCATTACTATACTTGAATTCAATAATTAAGTTTGTTTGGTTTTATCTATTATTCAGTAATATTTTAATAATTGAAGTTTGTCTAATCTATTATTCAATATTAATTATACTTGATATAATCAAATTTATTGATTATTAATTTTAATATTTTCTTGCACAAACAATTTGACTTTTTAATGAAAGTTTTTGGTAATGATACTTAAAAAGTTTGAAATATTTTATATATTATATATTATTGATATATTAATTCTTGTTAATTTAGATTTTTTTAATTCTGATAACAGTATATCATTTGACAATTAAGAAATACTGGAAGATCACTAAAAGATATTCATATGATAAATATGATTATTCATGAAAAAGATTATAAAGAACAATACCAAAAAGTTTTGACTTAGTATTTTTAATGATTATTAGAAGATTTTCAAAAAGTGCTGGTATTATATGGATCTTTATAAAAAAGATCTTAATAGAAAATTAGTAGAGTATTTCATAAAAAAGTATAAATCTCACAGGAGAATTCTAGATAACATGCTTGAAGAATTAAATAAGAATTAAACTTTGTAATATTTGTTTTATACTAAACAAAATTTGATAAAATATCATGAATATGCTTTTGTCATGAATAAAACTTTTAGTAAGTTTGTACATCTTTTCAACTTGCATATGTTATATATTAAGAATTATATTAACCAATAAAATTAAAGCATGCGATTAAAGTCACGTGTATATCAGCCAATAAAATTTAATCATGTGAATAAATGCACATGAAGCTCTATATTTTTGATGACTATAGATGGTTTGCATCATACAATGAATTCTACTGATACATATTCTGATAATTATAAAATTTATATATGAGACCTAAAGCCAGATATGCAAGTGGATGAAGATAAATGTTAACAGAACACTTCCAAACATCATTAATGTAACCAAAATCTGTTGAAAAAGCAACCTAGAAGAGTCTCATCCAGCTTACAACAGTACTTCAGAACCTAACCAATAGGTTAGAAACAAGTTTTTTACGAGTTTATCAGATTATTTACACTATCTATGGCTCGTTGAATAGCGGGTCTTCCACCTTCAATCCACGTCGCGCACGCGTCAAATCTAATAAAAACAGCATGGAATGCACGGATTAAGTTCGATCTATTAAAAAATGGTAGAGTAACAACAAAACTAAATAATTACGTACCGATTTTTCCTCGTCTCTTGTCACTAGCCTTTTCAGACATCTCTGTTTGGCTTTTTTTCGGTATGGATAGTCTGATTCGGCTGTTCAGATCTCGTGCATCATTGAGATTTTGCAGGGGGATCTAAGAAACAACCGATCCATGGGCATCTCTCTCAACTCCAGTTTCTAGATTGTCGTAAGCGGAACTGATTGTGGATGAAAGTGTTGTGGATGAAATATACAATGCTGTGCCTGATCCCTCTTGTGACAGGAAAATTACCATGTAACAGGAGACGCGAGGAAAAAGCAACAACTTGTCTCGGGTGAAGTGATATTACGATCTGGAATTGGGAGAAACAAAGTTCACCTCCATCGAAATCTTCAAGAGGATCTAAATAACAGAAAGTGTTCGGTTCATCGTGTTCATTCCAGTGGCAATCATTGGAAATACACAGAATGACTCGGTGCAAATGCTCCCACATTAATTTACTTAGATTCTCATAATTTTCTTAAGGAATCAGTTGATACTATTTGATAATGATCCAAGATTGCGAATTAGATTATCGACGCATTTTTGATGATCAGTATTATGTGTACTCGCCATGTTAGAGGTAGTATAGGAGGGGTTATATAATGTATATACGCTGAAATGCTCGATAAAATTTGCCCAAATTTCGTCGTTTCGAAGGGAGGGGTGTTTCGATGTGTGGAAATAATAATGATTAACGGCATTCGTTGCTTGTGTTATGGCATTATCATCGTCGAGTTGTTCGAGATGGATTAGGTCTGATTATTTCGGTCTACAACACACTCAGGTTCAATTATATGACGAAATTCCACCAACCCGTTTAACGAGTGAAAATTCTCATGCACTGATAATCTTGTTTCGTGTAATAGGTGTGCTTATTGTACTTTGTAAATCTTGAGGTTCGATATTATTCCGAATATCAATAGCGTGTTCAAGCTTTTTCCACTTCAATCTGAGGTGTTCGCTCTTCTTCGGATTGGTTCCTCCATCCCAACCACCGACCGAAAGCAACTCACAAGCGTTTTTTCCTTATCAGATATAGAACTTTGCAAATAATATCAGTATCGATTAGCATCAAAAAATCTCGAGACTACTCAAGTTATCAGGCTTCAGAGTTTCTATTAGACGATATCCGATCCGAGGCACATAGATTACTCGTCCACTCATTTTCGACGTAATAGATTTTGTCAGAAGTGGGGTTCGATGCTAAAAATAAAACTCATCAAGCTCAGCATTAAGTTTTTAACTCGTATATATTTTTCAGAGAAAGTGCATTGCGAAATATTAAGGCTGATACACGTAATATAAAAATATTATAAAGATTACAGTGGGATTGCATGGGAGGACGTGTTTTAAATTTCAGAACACTAGCAGTCTGGCCCAAAACACTGTCTCGAAAGATGATAACTACCCCTATTCTTTGACCCCAATATTAACATGTTTGTTCGACACAGATGCGCCAGTTCATGTCAAAGTATTGCGTTTTTTTTTGCGGAACGAATGAATCACCGAGTCAAAGCACTGAGCCACCATCTCTACTCAAAATGACGATTATGCATCTATTGCACCCCACAACTTACCGAAGTAAACTCGTGTCAAGTAACTCGGATACCCCCCTTATCAAAGACACTATGTGCCACACAAAAACAATACGACGAAAAAAAATCTGTCTATACTAAATTGCGACGATGTAGAACTCACATTCCCTCCTTAAAGATAAAAAAATAATATACCTCTGACAGATCGAAGACTATTAAGCGAGGTATGAGAGGTGATGACTGGTGATACGCCTTTTTCCGGTTTAGCCTGCGACAACTTCTCGACTTTTTGTTCTTCAGATACACTGGCCGGCACGCATCTCGGAGAAGTTGTGTTAGATAAAGCTTCACTTTTTTGTTTTCCTAAAGACGTGTGCATCGTAATGGTCTGTACTGAAAAAAAGCGTTGGAAATGGGTTCACGGTATATTATTAATTGGGCTAATACAATACTATTCGATGAGCCGTTAAGGTTATGCATAAAGTGCCTGCTTCGCAGAAAATCCTAGAGCCGATGTCCTGCTCAAGAATAGTTGTAACAAAGTCAAGACAAGAAAAAGGGCAGATCATGTAATTCCGAATGCACAATATTAAATAGAATTTCGGTTAGGTTTGAGTTTAGAGTTAAGGTTATTATATAGTAAACGGGAATATAATATATAGTAAATTGCGCAAGGAACATTTTTTTATTAAAGCACAAAAGATAGCGATAGTTTCATGTACAAGCCATTTTTCAAAGCTAAGCATTTGTTTTGTTTATTTTTGAATTTTTGAGTTGCACATTGATCGTGTCGGATGATCAACATCACATGATCTCCCCTTTTTGTCTTCACTCGACGGTGATGGGTATCGGTTAGTGGTCCGAATCATTCAATCCGTAATTGATCTAATCCGGTTTTGACTGACTGATTATATATATATATATAATAATCAATTTGGAAAATTTTTGACGATTAACAATGAATAACCGGATCACAATTTTATGAGTAATTAATTCGGATCATCCGGAGTTTAATCTCAATAAAATAATAAGTTAGAACTTTTTATATTTTAAGTATTACATATTTAATAATAAAATAAATTTTAGTTCATTTATTTGATTAAATAAAATAATTTATTATCTTGGATCGTATACTGTATACTACACGTACTCGGAACGTCCAAATGATCCGATTTCTCATTAAATGAACCGACGGATCATCTGAATGATCCGATTTGCAATTACATGTACATGTACATGTACATGTAACTGAATCGACGGGTCATCCGAATGATCCGATTTGTGATTAAATGACGGATCATCTTTAGTTAATCGGATCCAATCGATTGACTTGGACTATGACTGAATAATCGATTATATAGCAAAAAAATGATCGATTCGGACCACTAGTATCGGTATGTATATGACGATCACCCAATTAAGATTGATAATGCGTCGTACTAACCGAACTGATACACGTATCTCGACAGGCGATCGCGCAATGATATATACTAGCGAAATACTTTATTACTTTATTTTCCGATGCATACACTCGGTTAAACATAAGGCCTGATGTTGGTAAACTAACAATACTTTATCTATTTATTGAGATTAAAATATAATTGCGTAAATGTAACATTACTAATTTATGTCCTATCTATTGAATTTAATATATCAAAGATGGTTTGTACCAACTATGTCGAACAACAGACTATAATCCTTCTCTGCTCGAGCTTCAACCATTGAATCTACTACATAGTCTTTTTGATCAGTTTCTGAAAAACAACAGGTGGATAACCATTACGAATGAGATATAGTGCCATAATTGAACGACCAACACGTCCATTACCATCATATAATGAGTGAATATGAAGGAAGGTTTCAAGTAATCGACATGCGATCATAATATGATGAATACTTCCATTTTAATGCTGTCATCGCGAAATTTTAAGAATCTTTCCATCAATGCAGGCACTTCTCTTCCATATTATAGAAAAAGTGAGCCATAATCTAAGAAGGAATAATAAAACCTAGAACTCACCGGATAAACAGTCAAATGATAACCTGGTGCCTGCATTGACACTGTTCGAAACTTCCCTGCTTCTTGGATATTGCCCCATACACTAATTTTCTCCTGAGGAGTATCTTTTAACAAAATGCAATGGACCCTTTTAATTTCATCAATGCTTACTTCCCGCTCTAAATTAAGCAATTTATTATTTAAGTAGTAGGTTACAAGTAAGTGGTTACGGATTTCAATGACTTCATTTTCAGGTTTATCGGAAAGAGATCTTGCATCAGGTAGCTGTATTTTTTCAGGTTCCAAGAGATCATCAAAATTATAGTCCTCGTTCATTCTGCTCCAGATTTCCAATTTCTAATGAGTTCCTTTCCATGGCGCAACTTTGATGCGAAAAACTCACACTCATACGTCTCAAAAGTTCCGAAGATGAGAGTTTGGAGTCACATTTAAGGGAATCGATAATTGGTAGAAAAAAAATCATCTTTTGCTTGAAAGTCTGTTGAAAAAAATCAAATTACATTCTGACGAGAAAGATTGCAAAGAATCCGCGGTTCATACCATAATCCTGCGCACTCCATTCAAATGGACGAAAGTAGTTCTTCCAAACCTTCACAGAAACAGCAAGTTTATTCCATTCCTTCGTGTCTTCCTTAAGTTTGGAAAAAGAAGAGTGTAAATCTGCGAATAAAGTAAGTTAGTAATATTCAACAAACGTATTTTATAAATCGAAGTAAAAAGGATTTTTCAATAGAGCTTTTCTCTCATTCCGTTGAGCCTTTGAAAAAGCTGAAAGGAAACGGCAACTGTAACGATGCAATATTTTTTAAAAATCGTCCGAACTGGGCATATATGGGTTGCACAAATCTGTCTATGCCTCTTGCTTGAAATATCTCGATCTTGTTTCTTTTTACCATTATTTCATTGGCTTTTTTTTATGGAAGCTTAACCAAAAGCGGTTATTATCATTACAGGCAAGTACCGTAAAAGCTACCCTTTTCTCAACAAATTTTGGATATGAACTTTATGGGGTGGAACAATTTAGCATTGATTATAATTGCGATCTAATAATACGATTGATGAAATTGTGCAAAATATTTGTATAATACAAATATTCCGCGTCAATATAATTGTTTATCTTTTTAAATACAGTATGATTCCTGATTTTCCGTTATATTATGTTTTACAAATGTTCTAAAATGCCAAATCAATCTGTTCCTCTTTACTGTTGTCGAAAAAATTGCAAAAAACCAAACATTCTTTCAAATTGCTAATAATTCCGAATTTTGAGAGGGTTGCTTATATCCACCTGATGACCAAAACTAAAATTTTATTAATTTTTGAAAAATAATTTTAGTCGACATCATTCGTTGCCAAGCTGCTCTGATATTTCAGTTATCACAAACGAATTTATTTCTAGCGAAAATAAAGATATCGACGGTCTAATACAGAGGGCGATCAAAATTATGCGGACACACTTTATAAAATATTTTTGTTGACTATTTCTTTATGTAATCTGTTAATTAATATTTAGTTCGACCATCATTAGCAAGAATAACAGCCTGAATTCGATTAGGCATATTTTCAATTGATTCAGGTGGTAAATCATTCTAAGCATAACGTTCAAGTTCTGACAAACTTGATGGAGGTGGAGTTCGTCGACGTACCATGGTTTTCAATAGGATTAAATAGGACTTTGCGCCAGTGTTTAAAATTGACCTGCGCAGTCTGCGCACCGCAGATTGGAGACTGGTTGCGCAGATAAAAAATTCATACTTTAATCTTAAATTCAATAATATGAGGCATTGATATTATATCATGCGCATATTGAGAAAATTTTGCGCAGATAGATTATTTTGAGAGTATGCGGGCGCGCAGATTAATTTTTAAATGAATTTTAAACACTGCTTTGCGCTGGCCAAAACACAACTGAAATTTCTGCATTCTCACGTTTTTTTTTGGAGATTGGTTTCATTTTTTTTTAAAGGAAATGAAACGAATTTTCAAAACCAACGATATTAACGTTAATATTGCATGTATAAAAACTAAAACGATTTATTTTTCTCTTTCCGCATACGTAATAATAATTTTGATCGCCTTCTATAAATGAATGCATAAATTCTTCGAGTGGATTCCTAACCAAGTTGAATGCCTTGCAAAAGGAAGTTTTGGATCAATTTATAAAACAACCTGGGGACGGACCATTGGATAACGAGTGGGATCATGGAGAACAAGAAGTTGCGTTGAAATCATTACACAATTTAAGTGTAAGCAGAGTTGTTTTAATACAAGCAAGTTTTTCAAAATTAGATTCTGGATTTTCCGCATGAAAAATAACATCATCGTTGTTACATACCGATACATCGTTAGATTAGTTGATATCGATATTCTTTTCCCCAAAAAGTATCGCCCAATTTAAAATTATCTAATCATATAATTAAACACATAATTTTTTTTGATTTTATAGTACTTTCATTTTAAAAGTTCCATAAGTCTTGTTCATTTTTTCAAAAATATGATTGATTAGCTTAAAATGATATAGAAATATATATATAACTTGAAATTTTCAATTTTCATATATAAAGCGCGAGAATTTTTTTACTTTCCAATCAAAACAGTCCTTGCATTTTAAGTCGTATTATTTTTCAAAAATGCAATAAAAAATTTAGATACGTATATACATAGCTCAAAAATTTCCATTTTTGTATACATGTTCATGTACGTATTTAGTGTCGGGTTAATTACGTACATGTATTTCGGGTTGGTCGTGATTGCCCACAAAAACGGTTTGGTTTCGGATTGATCCATTTAAGATTAAATCCGAAAATGATATATCGATATGTATAATCTAACCAAGTACGTAGCTTTATTTCCACCTGGCAAAGTCCTAAATTTACCTAATTCCTCTTTATCATTATTTTTAGCTCTTCACTTGCACATAGACTAAATTACGGATCAATCCGAAAACCGAAACGTATTGGTTTCGGGTTGGTCCTTTGCAGCAAACCGATCCGAGTCGAACAATTAGGAACATTAATTTTAGTTTTTAGTTTTTTACGCTACTTTCAATTGTTTAAATAGTTTGGAATCTAAGACAAAAAGTTATCAATCTTCAAACAGATTACTTATTTTAGAAATGTTATTGTTATTGTTATGCATACACCTGCACTCTTTATCGTTATACAGTTTAGCATTTAATCTTTTTATTCCGAGCGGTTTGACCTTCAAATTAACAAAATGGAAAACCAGTTACGAAAAAGTTTTCTGCGTTCTTTATCAAAATATTTACAAATTCCACCAGAAGATACAATCATTAGTAAATCAAAACCACAAGTTAAAAAAATTGTAGAATCAATTAATGAAGGTTTCACTGCCGCCAGTATTAAATCATCGGAACTTGCTGGCGCTATTCTTTTATATATTCACGAGTTGGTACAACGTAAACTTGAAGACGACGAGTATCTGGATGTCTTGGAAGAAATTAAAAAGAAATCCGAAATTATTGTTGAAGAATACCAACAAACGTTGCAACGTTCCAACCAAATTGTCAACCGGCTTAACGAAATATCGAAAAAATATGTTGATCGACAAAAATCGCTCGATATCGAGTTAAAAACTCTTGAAAAAGAGAAGAAAAAATTGAAGTATCGAAAAAATGCCTTTTTCGTAATTGCTTTTTTCATCTTCATTTTTATAATGGCAAACGAAATCCAGATTGCAGCAATAATTTTCGTCATTATATTCGCCTATATAATGAGATTCTTAGAGAAGAAAAAAGTATCAATTCAGGATCAAATTCAAAAACTTACCTCAGCTTCAAGAAATATCGCTAATGCCCACATCGGAATAGAATCAATAATTCAGGCAGTCAAAATTAATAGTCAATATTGGAGAAAAATTTTGCGTAAAGTTGATTTAACATACCAAATGCTTCAAGCACGGGGGGATCGTAGCAGGCCTCGGAAGTTATCTGAAACTGTTGCAAAGCAATATACTAAAGAATGGGAAAGTATCAAAGAAGCTTTTGATAATTATAGTTGGAATAATTCTAGCGTTAATTGAAGATTATTTTACAATATTAGGTATATTGTTACCGACTCTACTGTCTTTTTCTTATTAGTACATGTATTATTTTAAGTATATTTATACTATTTAATTTTTTTATTAAAACATAATTTCTACAGTTTATAAAAAATGATAGTTTCGCGCTGTGTAGCTTTTTTTGTTCATTCAAAAATAAAAAACCAGTTCAATAAAGAAACTGTAACTTTATTGCAAAAATTTTGGGACTTTTTATTCAAGCTTTGATTGTCTAGCTCTGAAAATAATTGAATCACCACTAGAATAAATTTTTTCGTTCCAATTCAATAATTAAGATCGTCATGTTCTATCGAATGGTTTTTAGTTATATCGATATGGTGCATAAAATCTAAAGTCATCAAACGTTTGTATTTTATAAAATGTATAAACTTCTTTATTAAGAAGTAAATGCAAATTTCGTGGCGATTTGACTGGAAAAGACCAGCAAAGTGTTGGTGCCGCTGAAAGCTCACGACTACAAGAGAAGAATATCAAAAGTGCTATCAGGAACTAGCTGTCTGGATCAATGTGAAGCTTCGAACTTCCAATAAACTTTCCACAATAATCGAAGAAGGCTCGTCCAAGGATTGGTGGATGGAAACGGAGTATCAATGACTCTCCGATAGTATTCTCTTCACCAAGCCAAATTCCAAACCCAAGAGGCCACTCTCGTCTACCTACAACACGAAAAATGAATCACTTGGTATCATGGTTGTAATTACTATGTCGATGAGTTAATGACAGGGATGGTGTTCAAACAAGACGATTCAAGAAACCTATATTGTGAAGACTGTATTAAAAAGGGAAGATTAAATTTACCAGTATGCACCCAATGCAGCTATCACGTCCCCATTGCTGAACTATATGAAGTCAGTAGTTACGGTCCAACCAGATATTTTTGTTCTTACTTAGAACAATACGTATATATTTAACCACAGCAGCTGGAGAAGGAACAATGATACAATTCAGAAGCTACATAATGCATAAAATTTATTCGCAGTATACCAGGAGTATAATGAAATTGGGAAGGTGATTTTGTCTCATTACATTACTGAATATGACGAAGAGAATGAAAAGCAGTACATTGACTATGATGGATCTGAGAAAGTCTCCGCAGCTGAATTCTTTACTTCAATCTACCAGCAATTATTTCCAACACATCACCTCCACTCCAACTGGTCTAATTGAAGTATATTAATGTTAGACTTTGTTCTGGTTATTTAATTCCATGTGGCCTCGAACAATGTGACGACTGCTGACAAAGTTCAAGATCAGTCAAAAGAGCCAATCAGAAATGAGTTGAATTTAATTTAACAAGTAACGGAGTTAGAGATAGAGAGGAGAACCAACTCACCAGCATTGAAAAGATGATCCAAACAAAAGAATATGATACTAGAAATACTATCAACTTGAGCAGTCAGATAACTAATATCATAACAAGTAAGAAAAATAGTATGAAGGATCATGAAAAACCAATCAAATTAACAAAGAACAATAATTATTTAATTAAAATTTATATCAATAAAGGAAAAGAAAAGGTATCTGAGTGAGTGCACACTACTAATATAGACTTTGACTTATAGTATTCAGAAGAACAAACTATTTGTATTAACCTGTAACAAACTGTCTTAATTAATCTTCAAGTTGTCTTTGAGATTACTATAGGAATTGTCTGTTAATTAATATTTTGATCCTTGTTAGCAAAAAAAAGAGATCAAGGTGAAAGGTGAGATTATAGATGTTGGATATATAAAGAATATTAATGTGCTACTTTGTAATAATTCAAATTGATCTTATAATATTCAATCAAAAGAATGAGTAACTCAAGTAGTATTTCTAAAGCTAATCAATATTTTATTTGATATTTTGAATTTGGATAAGCATTCTATAGATTAAGATAAAGAATCTATTCTTTATTTGATTTTTTAAAATTAATATACTTTCTTAATAGATTTCATATCTCAATTTGATCAGAAACTATACTTTATATTTATATATTAAGAAAAAGAATTTGTGATATATTATTAAGTTTTTTTAGTATTCTATTAGCAAAAAGTGTATAATAAAAATATATATATTCTATTTATTTTTAAGACAATACAATATTTTTGTAAAACTGTATATAATATTTAATTTAATTATTTTTACTATTTTATTCATTTGGAGGTAATAAAAATTTTTAACATATATTGAATAATTATATTAGTTTAGCAATAATTAAGACTATAAATTCTATTTCTTGATCTAATTAAAGTTTTCTAGAATAATTGTAATGACAAATAATATTTTCAAAGATAAATTAAATTATTATAAAAGTTTTCTTGTTGAATATAATTTTTGCTTCAAATTATTTAATTAAATAATTAATAAATGTAATTATATAATAATTTTCTCTTGTTATTATTTTTTTTATACAATTTGATGAGATTAATATCTATTTAATTAAGAATTGTTCTATTTTAATTAGTTATAATGATTATTTTATTTGATATTCTTATTTTTTTAACAAGTATCACATAATTTTATAAAGTTCTTAATATTAGTTTTTATATTACTTTACTAGTATTTTAGTGTAATTTATTAAAATATTTTTCAAAGACAAAGTGTTTGAATAATAGAGTTACAAGCAAGTTTTAATAACTATATTAATTTTAATTTTTTTAAGTATATATAAAAAATTATTGAATTCTTTTCATTAATTTATTTTATATAATTGTCTGTTCTGAATAAGAAAGTATTTGACTTAATTCTTTATTTGCTTTTATTAATTCTTATTGTATCTTATAAAATAATTTTTGTTTTCAAATATTTCACTAAGTAAAAATAAGTAATTAAATCTATTTTGTCAATAATATTTTATATTTATTATATATTATTTATTTGCTTTCTTTTTTATATATTTTTATTTTATAAAAATCTAATTATTTATTCTATTTTACTTTATAAATAAATTTTATTATTTTTTATTTCTTGTTATATAATTTGTATATTAAATTAGAATTAGTATTTTGGCTATTTTTAATCATTGATCAGTAACTAAATTTTCTAAATATAGTAATTAAATTACTATATTTAGAAAATTTAACTATTAATCAATAGTCAAAATGATCAAAATACCAACTCTGTGTTAAATATTAATTAATTCAAAAAAGAATATTTGTATTCTGATTTAACTTGCCAAATAATAAATAATAATAAAGATATATTCTAATATAAATATGATTTATTAGAAAATACATAATTTAGAACTAATTTATTTAATAAATAATTAATAGAGAGTATTATAATTTATAATAATTTCAAATAATATCCTAAGTAAATAATAACAAACTAATATATCTTTCATATTATTCTCATTTTTAGTTCTTTTATATGGAAATATTTAGAAATGACTAACAATAACTGCATTTATAGCAAATTTTAAATAAGGATAATATAACTAATAATAATAGATAATTAATAATAATAAATTAATAAGAATATAAATATAAAATGAATATTAAATGTATTTAAGTAATAATAAAATAATACTAAAACTAAATATATAATATAAATTAAAGTTAAAAGTATAATTATAAAAGACAAAGATAATATAATAATAATTAAAAATAGACTAAGATAAAAACAAAAATAAACAAAGAGAAAATGAAAGAAATTAATAGAAAGAAATAAAACAAGACAAAAGTTAAATCAGAATATAATTTTCTTAGTTTATTTCAAGTCAATTCTCATGTTACATATATAATAAATTTGAGTTATTCTAATCTATATATTATTTATATATATATATTACAAAGAGAAATTAATAAAAATATGAATCTACAACATGTTGGAATATGATAATTATTATATAATATTAAAAAGAAATTTGTATAAAATCTATATGTCACTAATTAAATTGATATAACAAAAGATAAAAATAAAGTATCAATAAGATTTAAAATATAAATTAATATAAAATTACTATAAATTAATTGGTTAAATAAATAATAATAAAATTTAAATAAAAATTATGCAATATAAATAAAAATTAATTGAATAAAAATATGAATTATTGCTATTAAATAATAATAAAAAAAATTATGAAATATAGAAAAGAAAATAGAAAATAATAAAAAGAATATTATTGTACTTTTAATAATAAATACATATTGAAAAATAATAATATAATAATTAATGCTTTTTTTAGTTATATTATAATATCTTTTTTCAAATTTTAGTGAGATACTAGTATAAATAATTATATATTCTTGATTTTGAAACAATATTACTTTTAGTTAAGTGTTAAAAATATCTGTATATAAATAAAATTTTTTAATAAAATTAAGATATATTAAAATCTGAGCTATAATAATTTTTTTGAGTTTTTAAAGACTTCTCTTATTTTTTCTCAGATAAATATAATATTATTCTTTAAAAGATAAAATAAAAGAATAAAAAATCTTTTATAAACTTTTTGTAGTATTTGATCAATCAAAGAAATAAATAAAGTGATTTAACTATATATAATTATAAAAATTTTTGAATTCTTTTTATAGTAAAAGGATCATAAAATATTTCTTCTTTGATGATAAAATAATTTAGAAAAGATAAGCTTTTTTTATAAAATTATATTAGTTTAAGTTTAATTTGAATTCAACTTTTTTATTTATAAAAATAATTGTTTTAGATATTATAAATAATTTTTGTAATTTTAAAGTATATATTTATATTATTGATATAAATTATTATATATTTTTAGTTATAGTTTTCTAATATTATATTTATTGCTTATTAAGAAGTTTTCTAGAAATAAAAATAATTTTCTAATTTGTCAATACTCACAGATCAAATTTAGTAAAAAATATTATTTGGCATAATTTAGATTATTTAATATCTTATTAATTCTAAATAAATAATATATATCTTTTTTTGTAATATTATTAAGCTTTCAATAATTCATGCAAAAATTTTTTTCTATCCTTTTTATCACAGGTAAGATTTTAGTATTTAATCTTTATTATATCTTATTACATATAAATTTCTAATTTGATATTATTACTTGATAGCTTCTTTATTAAATTAATCTTTTATTATTAGTATTTATTTAGTATTATACTAAATTTATCTAAATATAAATAAATAATTATATAGATAAAAATTATATGATAAAAATAAGATAATAATAAAGTTTAAACTGTTTTATTATATATGCAATTTATTATATTTGTCTATTTATACAAAACCCAATCAAATTAATAAAAAATAAAATAAATAAAAATAAATAAATAATAAAATAAAAATCTAAATTGTTCCAACTATATATGTAATATAATATCTTTATTATCATTTTTAATATAAAGATCATTTTCAATAAAAAAAGAAAAATTATAATATGCAATCATCACTTGTTTTCAAATCTAATTAAAGATAAAGAGTTAAAAAGTAAAAAAGATGAACTCTTTTCAGACAGTCATGAATTATATACATATCAAGTATCAAATATTAAAGAAATAATAAAGAAAAAATTATTGTTATTATTTTGAATGAATAATAATTTTTTTTGAAGATGGGAACAGTATCTTTTTATAACAAAAAATCAATAATTATAATTAATTATTATTAAAGAAATAATATGTAAAATAAAGTATATGTGAATGTTATTAATCACTAATTATATAATTTTTTTGATTATTGATCTGATAATAAGGGCAAACTTATTATGTGCTTAAATTAGCGAGCAAAGAGACCTTACAAGCTCGGCAAGAGAACTTACCAGCAGATAGGCTTAAAACCCGATGAGTCAGTTTTCCAATATGCTTGGTTTAAAGTATGGCATATGATTTCCTAATTATTAATTGTTTATTCATCTATTATTATTAATATTGTATTCTTTTTCATATTACTCGTCTTCTTTTTGTTAATTTAACATGTTTCTAGTTACCTTCAACTTCAAAAATATAATCATTTAGGAGAAATATTCGACAAGATGCTGCGAAAATATCATCGCAAAGAAAAATCAATAATCAGTTAACGTTAGTGCCAAACGACATATTCAAACTATGTGCTTCGGAAGTTAGAGAAATTGCACAACGAGTATGACAGTTTTGCGGGAGCTCAACTTTTTTTTCGGATGGGCAAAAGTACTTTGCATACTGCAAATTTATTTACTGTATAAATAAAAACCATAATTGGCATAACGATAAATGCAAAATTAGTTTGCGTAAAATAGAAATTGTAAAATCAGTTTTTAATTTACAGATCCCAACAAATCGAATTTACATACTAGTCACTCGGAAAGTTGATCGGGGCAGGCTAGTGTGTGGTGATAGTACTAGACTTTCATATGTAATTTATTTTTTAGCAATTATAAATTTACAAAGATTATTTATTTTTACAACATCTACAAGCGGAAATTTCTTTATTGCCCGTTTTAATGGTCTCTTCGATATCTCGTTGATTTTCCGAGGTATCATTGTTGGACGTTTCGGCCTCTGGCTGTTTAACGCCAGTTTCGCTTTTGGACGTTTCGGTCTCTTGTTGTTTAATGCCAGTTTCGAGTTCACAACCCGGAGAATTTGAACAAACAATTTTGATTTCACAGCCTGGAGAGTTTGAACAAACAATCACATTTTCTGCATCTTTGGATTCTCCACCTTTGCAACACCCCGAAGAGTTTGAACAAAGAATCACATTTTCTGCATCTTTAGATTCTTCACCTTTGCAACACCCGCCACTAAAATTTTTGCTTCTTGCCCATATAATCATCTCAACCCCTTCTTTCACAAAAAACAGTCCCAAGATCAACGCCGCAGCAGAATCCAACCACCATCCATCTTTCCAAATCACATATAATATACTTCCCAAAAAAACTACCACGGTGATTTTTATACAAGCCAAGGAACATTGAGCCTCTGAAGCCATCGTTGAGGAATTAAGATTTTTTGCTAAATTCTTTTTCGACAAATAAAGAAATCCCATAAACGATAATGAAATAATCGAAATTATTAACCCCGCAATCCCAGTTTCGGGGTGATTATGTCGAATCAAAGAAATTATAGCATCAGAAAATGTTCCCAGTGCTAGAATCACAAATAGTATTCCTATTCCTAATGTAGCTTTTCTTTCTTTGTCGAGGTTCGTTTTTAAATAACCTTGGGCTGATTCTTTGTGAGGTTTTGATTCGGTGATGAAACGCCAAAGGACCAAACTTGCTGAGACAACTTCGACAAAAGAGTCAACGCCAAAAAAGACGAGACTCACCGAATTTACATCACTTCCAAAAATTATTGAAATGACACCTTCAATTACATTCCAAATGATAGTGAATAGGGAAATTAAAATTGCGAACTTGAGAAGTCGCGAACGAGGTTGAGGTTTGGAGAAGAACATAATTTACGTTTAGAATAAATTTCACATGACATTTATAGAACAGCAATCATAAGCTGTGTCACTGTATAATACATGTACGTAGCGTTACAAGAAAGTCGGAAACTTTCTATCGAATACATGTACGACAATGAAATTATTTTTACTATATAAAAATTTGTGAGATTACAAAGATAAGAAAGATAGTCATGTCGCAAACCACCAAATCTGATAAAAACAATACGTTACAAACTTGAGAACCTCTAGTTTTCACTGTGAAAATCTTAACATTTATAAAATTTGCGGGTAGAACTCTGAGACAACAGTGATCAACGTAAACGTTCTAGAATATGTTATAGAAAACGTTACGTATTGCGTACTATTATCGTATCGCTACTGCACTAAATACGTAATACGTAAATATGTGTAAAGGATCATTGAATAATTATTTGTATCTAATCATTTTTTTAACAGAAGATTGCAAAATTAGCTTTAATATGACAATTAAGTATATGAATTATTATCTTTTATACTATAAATACTACTTATATTCTTTGATATCTAATCAAGAGAATTAATTGTACATGTACGTAATTCGTCACATCTGTTCATTTGGATTTTACGCAATGTTGTAGTCATGATTGAAAAAGTAGAAGTTTTAACGTAAAGATTTTATATTTGAGCGTTCGATAACTTTATTCCCTTATTTACTTTACACTGCTTTATTATCTATTAATGGTCAAACCTCTAAACTAACCATCAGGCATAGAACTTTTAATGCACTTGTCAAGAATCAGCTATTTTGTACTCTATCGAAGAGGGTAACCAGCAGAGGATGGAAACGCCAGAGGGCAATGCAATCTTGTTTTTGATTATTGTTATAGAATTGGAACAAACACAAAGATGAGAATATATTTGAAAGCAGCAGAGTGGAAATGCAATCGGACAATGTATTTTTATAGGAACGCAAAAAATCATTCAAATCAGCAGAGTGGAAACGCAAAGGACAATGTGATCTTGGCTTTTTTATTGAAATGCAATCGAAACACAAAAGGATGACAAAAAGCATGAAGCGGTATGTAAGCTTTGGTATTTATGAAAATGGGATCGGAGCACAAAACATAAACATCGAATTCGATGTACATGTACATTACCTAAATTAACGTATCATACGTACAGTATACATTTCATGAGTCCTCTGGATCCCGTGAACATTCTCCACCATCACCTGAAGTTTCTGACACGGAAAAGTCAACAAAGCGTTCAAGAAAAGATAAAGGCAAAACAAAAGTTAATTCTCAATGTAAAACTCTTACATTTCAAGAAAAGAAACCAGTTAAAAAATACAGATATCGTTAAAAAATATAATTTATCTCCTTCTACGGTTAGTGATATCATTCGAGAAGAAAAATGGAGAAAGTTGGTTTTTAGTGATGGATTAGAAGAAGCAAAACGAGAACCTAAAATAGTGATTGGACTCGAATCAACTCGTTTTGACTCGAGTCAAGTCGAGTCAGAATACGAGTCAAAATACGAGTTGACTCGAGTCAGGTAATTCGAGTCAAGTTATACAGTGACTCACACATGTAGCGGAACACGAAATTAACTTACTAGGATTTTTATTTCCATGACTATTAGTTCGAACAAAATAAAAAAGTGTTCATTTGAAACCTTGAAATCACTAATATTTTTTAAAGATAATTTAGCAACAGATTATTTTGTAAATAAAGTGATTTAAATCAAAATTTACAATTAGTAGATTTCTCATATTGAAGAACTTTTTTTAGATTCAAATTTGGATCACTAATTAACTTTATAAAATTTACCTATTTACCAATTTTCATAAAAATTGGCTTAATTTTTATAGATATTTAAGATCCTAAGACTAAATTTATGCTAGGAGCATTAATACATGAATTAATGCAGTGAATTTTGTGATAATTTTTATGAAAATTGGTAAATAGATAGATTTTATAGAGTGAAACATTTTTACATGTAATTAGTGATCCAAATTTGGATCTGTCATAGAAAAAAATTCTTTAATGTAAGAAATCTACTAATTATAAATTTTGATTAAATCACTTTATTTCACAAAATAATTTGTTGCTAAATTATTTTTAAAAAATATTAGTGATTTCAAGGTTTCAAATGAACACTTTTTTATTTTGTTCGAACTAATAGTCATGGAAATAAAAATCCTAGTAAGTTAATTTCGTGTTTTGTTACATGTGTGAGTCACTGTATAACTTGACTCGAGTCAGAGTAATCACTCGAGTCAAAATATCGCAGACTCAAGTCAAAAAAATTATGATTCGAGTCAACTCAAGTGTGAGTTCAATCACTAACCTAGAATTTACTTTTCAGAAATAGAAGAAGATGATGTGAACAGGCAATATGAGATGAAATTACATTTAATGAAACAATTTTACAAAATAAAATAGTGGACCTTTAGAAATCAATGAATCAAAATTTTCTCCATCATCTGATGGCTGACTTCATTATTTTAAAGAAAAAAATAACTTGTATGTATACAAACAAAAAGAGAATTTAGACAGCATTGATTATACACATCACGAAAACTTCAAAATCTTTTTCAAGAATATGATTTAAATAATATTTTCAATTGTGATAAGATCACATTATATTGAAAATTGGAATCTTCTCATATCTTGTGCACAATCCTATTTCAGAAAAGAAAAAACTAAAAGATTGAATTATATTAATGTTAACTTATAATACTTTTGCTTTTTATTTACAAAAATAAAAATTCACATTCTTTTAAGAAAATTAAAAAATTAAGTTTATTAGTTTAAGATTACTGGAATGCAAAAGCATGAATGATACAATTAGTATTTGATTATTATCTTCATTATTTGAATAATATAATGAGAAAGGCAAACTGAAAAATTATTTTATTGGTTGATAATACTATATCTTACAAAATAGAAGCTATTATCAAAAAATTAACTAATATTAAAGTTTATTTTTTGTCTTCCAACATGATCTCTATTTTGCAATTACTTAATCAAGGAATTATAAATATATTTTACTTTCTATTTGTTGTTAAATTTATCTAAGATATTGTTTTTAATATTTTTAATTTCTTTTAGATCTATTATAGATCAATTTTATACAAATATTGAATTAAAGAATATGATACTCTCTGATTTTATCTTAATTAGTAACAATATTTAGAGCCAATTTCTATGAATTCTTTACTTACATTAATTATATTGAATACAATTAACTTTTTTAATAAGATACAAAATCAAGTAATACAAACTACAATTCAATCTTCTTGAATAAAGACTAAAATTTTGCCAATAACAATTAATCTTGAAATAATAATAATAATAAATGAAAAAAATACAGAATTTGAAATAATAACTTTAATTAATAAGTTATTTATTGAAAATGAAATATTAATGTTCATAATTGAATTAGTGACAAAGAGTGATAATAATAATATTAAAGATAAAGAATTTAGTTTAAGAAAAATAGTATCAACAATTAAAGAAAAAGATATTAATAAAAAGAAAGAGAAAAGAGTTATTTCAGAAAAAAAGTAACAAGTTCTTGGACTCTTTTGAATTTGAATGACTTTGTTTTATTTTATCAACAAGAAGATCTTGGTGTTGATACTCAATTTTATGATCAATTAAAATGATATGTAGAAAAGAGTATTGTAATAAAAAAACAAATATATTTAGATGACTATTTTAATTTAGAAGATGGTGATAATAATAATAGTGTATATAATTATATGTAATTTAAATAATATTTTATACATATATATGTACATAGTAATATCAATAATTTTTTTCTGTAAAATAATGATATTAATATTTCTATTTTTCGTTCAATATAGAAATTAATTTATATTCACAAATAAAATATGCATACGTTAAATAATAATGATAATGAAAAAACATATGAGTTGATAAAATATATAAATATTCATTTAACACTAAATATTTTTTTCAACATTAATTATAAATTTATAACGATATCGATATGAATAAATGATATCAACAATTAGTCAATCAATAACTAAATAATTATTGCACATTCCAATATAATAATAAAATTTGATTTGTATATAAAATTCTTTAATTAATAGTTTTAGAAAGATATTAAAACTTTGTTTCATTCATTTATAATTGCAACTGCTAGTACAATAATAGGATAGTATACATCAAAAAATATAGAAGATGTATCAAATTGGATTTCTTTATTATCTGATTACTCAATATATATATAGTAACTGATAAGAAATAGTTAAAATTATCTATTAGATTAGGAGAAAATAATACTTTAATTTTTGAATAATAAATGATTTTTATTCCATCTTAATTGTTAAAAATTATATTTTGTCACATTGACACAAAATTTCGCAAAATATTATTATGCTAATGTGCTTTATAATATTAATAAATCTTGTTCCTAATATCCTAAAGCATTTATCTACAAATTTTCACGACGTTTGAAAATTTCCTAATTAAGATATAAGCAAAAAACACGTCCGCCATTACTTTCCGTGCTGACTATATATTGACTAATTAGTTAGTAATAATATTAATTTTGTTAATTCCCAAAATATTAGAAATTCTAAAAAATAAATAAAATTACAAATTTTCAAAAATAGTTCAAAATAAAAAATCACATATTAAAAATTATTTACAATTTTTATTTACACTTTTTACATCTTTTATTTACATTTTATTTATACTTTTACACTTTACAACTTTATTTACACTTACTTATAAAAATTACATTGTCTCAAAATATATAAATAGAAATAATCTTTGAGACTTGTTGGAACTTGAGATTGAATAACATAATAAAAACAAAAATCTTTAACTTTACCTTTCTATCATCTCTCACTCTCAACTATATACTTCAAAGTTTGTGTACTAGTGACCTTTATTTCTTTGTATCTAACAAAATTTAGATATTTTTTTGAAATTTGTATCCAATAATAGTTCTTGGATTATTCGAATACTTGGAATTGTTTAAGTATATTTTGTTGTGAAATCTGTGCAAAACTTGTGAAGCTTGGTGAAAGAGCTATGCTCGAACGCAATTTGGTTGATTAAATTAAAACTCTGTCAAAGATTAAAATGGTGTTCGAGAAGATAAATTTGGATATATTTAAGCAGATCCTCGAGAATCAACTAATCTACGACTAATAAATCCTATTAAAATTTTAACTGAACAAGTTTTCATTTTTATTTATTCAGTAGCATTATTTAAGTTTATCTTAGCAATATTTCAAAAACTTGAGGTTTGATATTCGGATTCTTAAAAATAATCATCATATCTATTCTCACTCCACCCAAGCCTCAGATATTGCAACTACGTCACCAATATTGCTAAGTGTGCTGAAAAGATACGTTTGATTGCACTATCAATAATCTAAATATCATAATAATTGGCGTTCTTGAAGAATTTATTGAGTCTGTTTGGATGTGAGCCAATAATTCAGGAGTCATTTTTTATTAGATGGATATGTTTGTTGTTGGATAAAAGCAATACTCGCACTGATTTTATTAATTACGTAATAAAGTATCGGTATTGAAATTAAAGATTGACTGTTGTAAACTGCGTGGATTTATTATTTTTTGTTTGTATTTGTGGGAATGCTTTTTTGCGATTTCTTTCCCTCATCAAGTTTTTCTAATCTCTGCTTATTCAGTTAAGACACTCAATAACGATAATTTGTTTTAGAATATTCCAAGAACTGTGCAAAGTATTCGGTATGCTGTGTTCTGAATAGCAGATAAAGTTGTCAAGTTCTTCATGACTTAGCTCACCTGTTGCAATCTTGAGCATAATTATCTCAAGCCCATAAATATCTGCAGCTTTAGTGTACGACTTTCTATTTTACACCTCTGGACTCATATACGGAAGGACTCCATAAAATTCTTGATTGGATTTTTACATCTGCTGGACTGGTAAGTCTCAAATCAACAATGTGAGATTTTTATAGTGAAAGTCACAATGCACAATAACGATAATATTCCATAAATTAATAATTTTTATTCCTATTATAATTTTTCGTAGTTGGAATTAATATGTTGGTCATTTTTTGCATAATATATTACTATGATGTATTGCAAGGATGATGAAAAACGGATTATGGTAAAAATTTTGGCAAAAATTGTGCAGATTGTGCAGATCATTTGGCCAGAATTATCGACAATTTCTTATACATGTAATAAAAGAGCAATAATGATAAATGCATAAAATATTTAACTTAAATTAATTTTGCACTAATGTTTATATTGCTAAATACTATATAAATTTATGAGTATAATTATTATTTATAATAATAATAGATATTGCAAATTTTCACCATAATCTGTTTTTCATCATGCTCCCCCGCAAGTATTAATTGGTAGCTGGTTTTTGGTTATTTCATAACAATTGAAATAGCTCTTACTACACTTAAAAAACCTGTCCTGTATGTATTAAAAACAAAAAGTGTGCGTAATTTGTGTATACAATTCCCTGTATGTAGCCTCCCAATAAAATAAGTGATGTAATTAACGTTAATTACAACCACCTGTAATTTGCAATGTTGGTAAAATGACAAAAATGCGTGTCATAAAAAATTTTATTTCTTTAATGAATCAAAAAAACTTTGTCATTAATGGATTTTTTCAATAACATTTGAAATATTAATAAAATAACAAAATCATAAAGTAAAAAATATATAAATTATTCTTATAAGCCAAAAAAGTTTTGTCATTTACTCATTTTGCCAACACTGGTAATTCGTAACTGGGGCTGATTGTTTAAACTTTTTGATAAAATATAAACTAAATTTCGATTATAGTAGATACTAGGTTTCGGATGTAAAACTAACGTCTAAACCATATTATCGACAAAAAATTTTGTAGTCAAACTATGTTTGGCCACAGCTCTATTTGTAACGGATTACAGATTTTACAGGGGAAACCCCCGTAAATTGCAGGATGACATATCGTATTCTCGCCAACGACAATACTATCAGTACACGACACTTTTTGCGTTATCCACAAATTCGAAGTTTACTCAGTGAAGGTTCTGATTTCGTTATAGATTGCTATAAAAACGAGATTATACGAATACTCGCTTTAAGTGGAACATTCACAAATAGAAAAGATTTCATCTAGAGGAATTTCGGACGCCTAGCGATTTCCTAGTAAATTTCTAATAATTCATTGAAATTAAGGAAAACCATATAAACCCACTAGGAAATCCCGATTCTGCTAAAGGTTCACCAAAAAATTACTAGTGTACCTGTGATTAATACTATAAGAATGATAATGGTCAAGATTTATTTCAAAATCAACAATGAATAACAATCCGTCGGGAAAAAATTTGGATTGCTGAATGCTATTTTTTTTCTAAGAACTGTATTAATTATTGATATAGTAAATCAGTAGATACAGAAACAATAGCGATAGATCTCTTTCAGAGTTTTATGAAAAAGGTTTGGCGTTAAGAACTATGCATTACATGTACATGATTCATTGGGATGCGCGATTGGTTATTTGAAACAAAACTATGTAAATAACTACATGTAACTATAAAAAAACGAGGACCCGATTTTTAGATGTGGGGACTAAACAACATTTCTTTTTTGGGTTTTTTAATATCATTTGATTTCCAAGCGTCATGAATTTTTTATTTACATTAATTATTATCTTATTATCTTTTCGAAAAAATCAATTGTATGTTTACCTACATCTTATATTTCGTTGACTTTGTTGAATATTCAAATTAATAGTAAATTTTTCTTTAGTTAATATGTAAAATTTGGCTTCGTAACTTGTTCATTTTGGACTTAACATGTTCAAATTTAACTTCAAAATATTTAGTCGTAAAGGTTATATATCTAATTAATTAAACATGGATATTTATATAGCATATAAACAACGATTTCAATTAAAAATGCAAATAAAGTACATCTTGAAAAATATCAAAGAATCCTGAAACGATCTCCACCAATAAAAAACCAACAACGAGCTGACTTCATTTCAAAAATACAACAATTACCTGAAAAAGAAGTATTATTAGCAACCAGTCTTATATCAAATATGTGATATCCAAAAGGTTCAAATATAATTTTGCTGTACTTGCAAAAAAAAGCACATAATTATATTTCTCAAAGTATTTACAAATATCAATTCACTCTACAAGATTCACATTCAAAGACTTCATCAGAAAAATTAAGCTCTTATTAGACAAACTCAATCTCTTGGAGCAAATCCAAAACCCAAAATTAAAACATTTGTTCTGAAATTTGTATGCTCAAAACAAATTACTTCAAAAAAATCAAATACAACTTTAAAACAAATAAACAAGATTATCAAAGTTTTGAAAAATATGTATTATGAATAACTAATAATATAATATACAAGTGACTCTTGATATAAGAAACTCTCGATATAAGAAACTTTTTATATAAGAAAGAAATTTCAAAATTAATCTATTTAACTTTCTTTGGTATAAGAAAGTCGATTATAAATTTCTCGATATAATAAATAAGAAAGCTTTTTTTGTTGGATCCAATAACTTTCTTATATCGAGAATTACTTATATATTTTGAAAGACAAAAAAGAGGATTTTGTTCTTTTTAACAAGAAATAAAATTAAATTTATTATATATTAGTTGTAAATTTCATATTATTCAGATTATAATTAATTATTTTGAACAAAAGGCATTTGAAATAATTTAAAATTTTTAAGAAAATCATATTTATATAATCTATAATCACATTTATTTATAGTTATAATCATTCTATTTGCTTTTTTATTTATATATAAATTTAACAACAAAATCTCTATAGTTATAGCCTCTTTATAATTATCTAATTTTGTGTTTTTGAGAATAATAACTATTAAAAGATTAATTATATTCTATTTGATATAAAAACTATATAATAATAATTATAATTCAAATGATAAAGATAAGTTATTCAACTTAAATTTTCAAATAATTATAAAGCTTTATAATATGTTATTAGAATTATTACTTTAAAATATACTAAAGTTATAAATTGCAAATAGTTAAATAATATTTTAACTAATATAGTACACATATTGAATTTACTTATTAATTTATTAAGAAAAATGTAAAATTATATCTTAATGAGTATTATCTTTTTTCAATTTTGGCTTCTTGAATCAAATCTAAATATTTAAATTAATTATTTTGTAAATTCTACTGAATATTTATCTAAACTATTAATATAATTTATACTTAAACAAAATAAGTAACTAGTTATTTTATCTTTAAATTAATTATTTATAAAATATTTGATAGATTATAAATTTTTTCAAAACTCACTGAAATTTTGAAGTATTCTTTGTTAATAAATTATCAAAAACAGGAAATACTTTATCCAGTAAAAAAGAAATTATTAAAGCTTTAAAATATTTTGAAAATTAATTATTAGTTTGAATTTATTTGCTATTAGTTATTTGTTATTTTGACAATAATAATGTTAAATTATTTGTTTCTAGCATTTATTATGTAATTTTAAAAAAATTTTGAATTAAGCAACCAACTAATTTGGAATTATATTTTGCAAAAGGATTCAAAGCTAATTTAAAAAATGAAATAATAGATGATTTTGGTTTGCACAAATTATTATTACAAAATAACAAATTTCTTAAAGACATTAAATAATTTTGTAATAATAATAAATTATCGATGCATAATTATTTTGAACTTTATAATTTTGTTAAAACTCAAATTTATTATACACCAACAATAAGTGAAAGATCTTTTTAATAAGTTAAACCTAAAAATGCATTCCAATATATCACTATTAATTAATAATCAAAGCTTTATTATTATTAAGATTACCAAAAAAATTGGTCAGAAGAATTAAATGAAAAAAGAGCACAAAGTAAAGCAAAAAGAATTCCATTTCAAGAAACTCAACCACTATTATTTGGATCTAATATTGCTTCAAATTTTTTTAGTCAAATATTATCGTTATCGTTATATAAAAATTAGGATTTACGTACATTCTTATTTCACAAAAAATCTCGATTAATGAGACATTCATAGTTTTGTTACACATAGACTATCAATGTATCATGCATATCGATATGCACAAAAGTTCGGAACACTCGTTTTTGTTAATTACAGTACACAAAATATACATGTACATAACGATAATAAAAATACGTACGTACGTAATGAAATTTATAGCCTAGCTCTAGGTTTTATGAATAAGTATGCAAAATTTTACATTTTTAGGCTTTATCGTTAGAGAAAAAACAAACCCATTAAATTTTATGATTACGATTTATTATTAAATGCCGGTACTTAAAAGCCTGCATAATAATTTAACTTGAAATTTTAACTATTACTTCTAATATTATATTTAAGTCAGATACTCTTTATTTTCTGTCAAATTCATTAAGTAATTTTATTCCATTCCTCTTTAAAGCAGTCTCAACTGTTTTAATTATTAGAACAACTTCTAATACATCATTCCAAAGATATTTAATAGGATCCTGATCTGGACATTGACTTGCACAATTTTTAATATTTGTTTTAATCACTCTTGAACATCTTTACCGCTGTAAATAGAAACATTCTTATCTTAAATGTTCATTAATTAAGCGTAACAAATTTGATTCTTTATCTGGAAAACCAATTTCATGTTTATTGTTGGTCTAAGATTTTTAATATTGTATTTTGTCCTAAGCGCTATTTATCAGGTAATTTTCATTTATTATCGAGACCCTTCCATCTGATCAAAATGAGTCATAATTTTGTAGAACCTAATGATCAGCAAAACCCCCACCCCCACCAAAGGAATCACCTGATTTTTGCACTCCCTTCGAACACATACTGAATCAATTACCCCAAAGGATAGTTTACACTCCGATCTTTCTTTTCTAACAACAATTCAATTTCCTCATTAATTAAAGGTTTAAGAGTCGGAAAAATATTAACTTCTTTTATTAGCTGTTGTGGAAATATGCAAGCTAGTTTTTACGGCTGTCATGGTTACAATGATTGTAACCACCACGACTAAAAATCGAGGAAATCAATTTTTAGAATCAATTCTAATTTAATACGCAGCAATAAATAATCATATCGAAATAATAACATGCATTGTCGTCATCGTCGTCGTCGTCGTCATCGTACATTACGTTCGGTACCCCCAAAAGTAGCGCCAATTTAAATTGCAGTATAAATACATATCGATAGAAAATGTTTTTAGATTTTATAATTAAAACAGTTCTTTCATTTTAAAATTGCCAAAAGTATAATTGATTGGCTTTAAATGATATAAAAGTTAGAAAAGAAATATACATATCTATACATAAAATTTTTTTTACTTTGTACTTGAAACAATTGTATTTAGATTGCCATAAGTAAAAAAGATAGATATATACATAGCTCGAAAATTTCCATTTTTTTTACGTTTTATTATGTAATTTTAATCGGGCGTTACTTTTTGGCGGTATTGTACTTGATTCCTATCCTCAGTCATTATGACTGTGTACATGTGCAGTACCCCCAAAAAGTAACGCCCGGTCCAAAATTATATAATAAAACATATAAAAAAATGTAAATTTTCAAGTTATTTATATATTTATATATCTATTAAGAATTATTTCTAAATTTTATCAGTTTAAAGCTAATAAATTGTATTTTTGAAAAATGAAGATTTATGGAACTTTTAAAACGAAAGAGCTGTTTTAATTATAAAATCAACAGAAATTTTTTATATGTATTTTACTATGTATATACATGTAATTTTAAATTGTACATTCAAACTTAAGATTTGCATGTTACGGTTATGAGAATCTAACACTATGTTTATTACTGTATCGGTATCGGGCATCGGTATGTACATTTTTTGTGAGATTAGTAAAAACGAGTGTCCGAAACCTTGGTACATGTAGATATCGATATTTAGCGTTAGCAATTAAAAGTTCATTGTTAGCGATGTATTGACATTTCTAATAACGCGCGAACGAACAATCTTGAATATATTTTTTTCCCGCTATTAAATAACACTGTAGAAGAAAATCCAATTAGCATTTGACATGTAAATGATTTACTACGTTATGTACTGTAAAAAGAAAATAGAAGCAGATAAACTGGAAACATGCATCAAATCATTTAATTCTCGCTACGTGTCGGTATCGAGTGCACGAAAAAGTACGCTCGCAGAGGCGGCGGTTTGTACTCGCTATGTACACTCCGATATATTTGTTTGTTTGTATACGCATTACGTATGCATAGAGACATAACCAAACCAAATGAAAATTTCGAGGATTGACGTATCTATTGTATCTATTGTCTCTATTGTCTAACTACGTATACGTAACTAAGCCCGCTTATTATGATTCAAAGAAAGGTCGATTTTGACACAAACTAACTTGTATGTATAACTCGTGCAACTGACTCATTTATTCACAGTTTGACAGGCCTACTGTTTCCTTATTTATCGTAATCGACCGAGGGAAGTCATCGACACAACAATAACAGATAACACAATACAATTGTAACTAAATAGTTTTGTGATTCTTTTGTTTGTTTGATCAAGGAACCAAAAAATCATAAAATCATTGTTCTCTTTCATTCCCTCAAATCTATACCCATCATCCCTTTTTTATTTTTTTCTTATATTTTTTTGATTTTCTCGGATTGAATTTTTTTTACGAATCGAAATTAGCAGAATCATTATTAATTCAATTAAAGATACAATGGCTCGCTTAAATAATTCCAATGGCATACGAAAAAAAAAGAAAAATGCCAATAACATCAACGACAGTCTAAAACCATCAACCAATTTAAAATCATCAAACAATTTAAAATCATCAACCAATTTAAAACCATCAAACAATCTAAAACACAAAAAAGGACCGACACTTACATCCAAAATACTCTCGATAATATTTACATATATCATCGAGGAACCCAACAGCGACGATGATTCTTCTGATCCATATCAAAAATCTTCGTCGTTCACTTCATCATCGTTAAAAGACTTTCGTTCGTGTATGTTAGTGAATCGATTATGGTGTGCAACCGCCGTCCCGATATTTTGGTCCAAACCATTTCATTATCACGATGGTCCCGAATTAATTCGCTTGTATTTATTATTCTTGCGTCAAGATAAAGATGAGATGTTAACTGCGAGAACTTGTGCAGGACTGGAATTGTTGAAAGAGCATGAGAATGTTGACCCAGAAGCTTTTGAATTGTTAATGAATCTTGTGACGATTAACGGGGTTACGACAAGAGCCTTCAATTATCCAGCATTTCTTAAAGAGCTTGATTACTATTCATTGTTGATATCAATACGGAATTGGATACTTGATGAATGTGAAAATCAAATACGAAAACAAACCGCGTCATTCGACGACTTCAATTTCCCCCCGAAATTAGACAAATTCAATTCTCCTCCGAAACCCAAAAAATTACCACAAAATCACGAGGAAAGTTTCCAAACCCAAAAACTAACAGAAATCGTTGTACGTGAACTAATCGAACTTTGGATATCACATAATGTCCGTTTAGACGGTCTACTAATTGACACTCACGCGCGAGATGTTTACGATATTGAACGTGATGATGAATTCATGTTGATCGCACAACATGAATTCAGATCGTTCACCTCGAGTTTGACTCGCTTAAATATTGCTGCCGGGTTTAATAAAGGACGATTGTTTGGATGGTTGTCGAGGAATTGTAATGAGATTGTAAGTTTTTTTTTTTGGTAATTATTATTGAGGATAAGCCGGACATTCATCTCCATTATATTTCTAAAATAATTATAATTATGATCATAGTCGCATCTGACAATTGACATGGTTCGAATGAGAAGTTATAATCATCAAAATGGATGGAATGAAAATGAGAACCTTGCCTCGTTGATAGAAAAACAATATAATCTCAAATACTTGAAACTATCAGGTTACGACGCAGACAATGCGGATATGGAACTCATCATGCCTGCGATTGCCGAACAATCTTCCACACTTCAATATCTTCACTTTGAAGAAGTGGATTTTACCGGTTGTTCTCCCTTTGATGGGATTGCATCTTGCGAGAAACTCGAATCTTTACGTTTCGTCAATGTCGATAATATATGGGCGGATATGATTAAATCATTAGTGACTAAGAACTGGGAAAACTTAACGAGAGTTGAGGTGATTGGTAGTTCTTGTACTAGGCTGAGAGTATGGGCCGATGGGTTTAAGGATAAATCATTGTTGACAGATAATAATATCGATATCGTAGAAATTGATGAAGACGAAGAAGAAGGGGGAGGGGAAGAAACTCTTATAAAAGAGAAGAAAAAGAAACGGCGGAATAGGAAAAAGAATAAAAAGAAGAAAGGAAAGAATGTAAATGATGAAAATGTGGGTGAAGGTGGTGTTGGTATTGAAAAAAGTAACAAGGAAGTTCTTGGTGTTATTATTGAAAATGATAACAGGCAAATTTTATATTAATAGAAAAATTTCAATAGAAAAATTTCAATAAGCATTTTTGATAAAAATTATGTATTATATAGATATAGCTTTGTACATGTATTACTTTCCCCTTTCCATTTCTCTTATCGTTATGTAATAATTAATTCTTAATCGTTAATATGCTATATACGTCTACAAGTCATTAATAAATATAAAATAAGAAAATAAGCATATGTAAAATAAAATATTAAGTTTAGCGTTAGTAAAATGCGGCAATTATAGTAATTGATAACAACAAACATGGTTCGTGCAATACAGTATGTATATTGAATCATGTGCGTTAGCGTTAGCGATAGATGCAATTAACGTTAATTCCCAACTTTGGGAGCATTATGCATGTTGTTTGTGAACCAAAAAAAAAAAACAACCAAATGTTAACGTTAATGTTCACCTTGGAAGTTATTGCATTTCGATAACGATATGAATTATGATTACACATAAATTCTTCATTTTATCCAATGCTTTGGTTACGCATAATTTATTATTACGTGTAAACGAACCATTTCAATAATTATAAGACAAATGAAGTTTGACTAGACTCGCCAATTAACACACGTAAACCATCGTTATATCGTGCGATTTTACAGAGATAAAGTTTAGGGTAAGTTTATTACGGTTAAACTAAAATTCATTCTACTCCAACAATAAAGTATTTTATAAGTTCCGAGTAAATCTATAATAACTAAATTTTATAAACATGAATTGTAAAATGCATTGACCCATATACGTAGTCTCTGAAATTTCCCCAAGCTCGGTACGTAGTGTATTCAGTTTGCAAATTTGCACATCTACATGTACGTATATTGCTACTAGTCCAATAAGAGACCACACATATAAGAAACCCCTATACGTATTGTGAAGTTGGCAAAATTGATAATCATGGTTATTACTCAAGTTAACATTATAGCAATTGTCCGCCAATTAAATGTAATGCATATGTCTAATTTTTTGGGGATTATACATAATACATATACATGTACTGATACATGTACACATGTATGGCATCACACATAACGATAAATGGCACTTTTCAAATGCTGTACATGTACGCACGTATGCAGTACGTCAAAAATACGGTGATTTGATTGGACACGCATATTTGAATCATTGTAAACGTAACGGTAATGCGTATCGGTATGCATCGCTATCGTTATGGTTTTGGAGCACACCAGCCACATTATTACCTGTCGGAGACCAACTACCGCGGAGCATTACCTTTTAATAATAACAAAATTATCGCATATTAATATTATCAAGATGAAAAACATTTTAAAAGCAATAACCTTGCCAAAAACCAAGACAATCACATTATTTGACTATCAATGTCCAATGTACAGTACGTACCCCAAAGTATCGTCCCCGATTTACGCGTGTAACCATTTTTCAAAAATTGATTTGTCAAGTTTTCTTCCTTTTTTGATAATAAATAAACCTTGTTTACCTGTTACAACCTCGTCAACACTATAATTTCGTTAGTTTAAGAAATGATGTCCACCTATCTGCAGCTTAACGAAATTGAATAAGGGAAGATTCTGACATACATGGAAACCACAAATGCCGCTCAAATCGCAAAAATGCTTGGACGCGACCACACAACGATACGTCGCTTTATTAACAAATATAAACGAACAGGAAAAAAGTGAAAACTTACAGCGTTCAGGAAGACCACCAGTCTTAACAACCAAGAAAAGGATTTACTTATACGTGAAGCCAACGAAAAAAGATGTGCATCACTACGCGAAATACATGTAGTCAACAATTTAGGCTCACTTGTAGTTTATCAACCGCCGCAAAGGTATTACACAACTCCGGACTTAACTCATGTATCGCAGCAAAGAAACCTATATCTCGGAAACACATGCACATGCTCGTATTAAATGACGTGAAGAAAATAAAAATAAATCAGCTTATGATTAGACGAAAATAACTTTCCCTGATGAAACCAGTGTTGAAGTTGGAAAGCAGTCACGACAGCCAAGAGTTTGGCGGCATCCTGGAGAAAGGTTAATGTTAATTGCTTGGCTCTTACCTTTAAAAGTGGACGAAAATCTGTAATGGCTTGGGGGCGTTTCGCGGGAAAATTAAAAGGACCTTTAATTTTTTGTGATGAATATAAAAAAAATGGCGAAAAATAGCTGCAAATACGTATCTTGAAATCTTAAAAACTCATTTATTACCATTCCAGAACGCAATTAAGGAGTTAACTGGAAGTTACGCAATTTTTCAACAAGACAATGCACCGATTCATACTGCGGGAAAATTAAGGAATGATTAACGGAAAATAAATCGCGATTATTAACTGGCCGGCTAATTCTCCGGACCTGAACTCAATAGAGAACATTTAGAAGATATTAAAGGACAATGTTAAAAAAAATGAGATCTTTCCGAAGACTGGATGAACTTAAGGTCGCATTAAAGGTGGTGTGGGAAAAAATTGATGTGGCTATTTTAGAACGGGTTACTGCATCAATGCCACGAAGGATTAATACGGTATTGGAGTCAAATGGAGGGCCGATAAATATTAAATAAATTTTATTTTTTATTTGATGTATAAATTGACAAAAATCAAATAAATTGAATAATCACAATTTTTATTTTAATCTTGCATCGGGCGATACTTTTTGGGGTACTGTACATGTACATGTATTAGGATAATAGAATTAAAACTATACGTATTAACGTTAAACGGCAATATCTCACCAATATTGGTCCCTTTTTTTATGAAACGGGTACCAAAATATCTGTCTCAGCTAGATGAATTCAATGATCAAAGGTATATCGCCGCCGTTTTGCTATACGTATTAAGGCATTTTGGACAAACTAAAATTAATTTGTACTATTCCAAAAATTGTCCAGTCTACTGAGCGTTAGAGTCACTGCTATAAATCATGTTTTTAAAGATGATCGTTTTCAGTTTATCTTGGGTCGTAGTATCTTAGTATCCAGTAGACTTTTTTGAATGTAAATACCACCATTTGCTTTGTCTTATTCAGACAGATCGAATGGTGGTATTTCATTTGAATTTGATCCCTAGATATCGAGATATCACATCACGTCGTCCAAAAGTGGATATTACTTAAATTTTTTTACATTACTATGAATTCGGCACTTAAAGACGAAAAGTGAAATTAAATCCAAAATTAATTATTGTTATGTATGCTTAAAAAAATCTGCATACGGGTTTCAAAACAGAAATTAATAAATTACAATGCCGATACGTACTAGTTAAATTCACATTATTTAGTAAATGCTACGAAGCAGTTCTTAATACATGTATTTATTCAACAGATTGTTTGACCAGAAAACTTTTTAATAATATCATGCAATGTTTTAAGCGTGTATGTACATGTACCAAAGTCTAGTCCATTTTGTCCAGCACCTTTAACTATAGTGAGAATGTAACATACCGATACCTGGATTAGAGGGTCAACTAAAATTAGCGTTAGGATGATCGTTAAAAATTTAAAATAACGAATAAATATGATAAATGTACTGTGAAAAGTCGATTTTTTTACTTTGACGGAATACAGGAAGATAATGTCGTCATTTCATTATTTTAATTGTTCAAAACCAGTAATGACATGAAAGCATGCTACATACATACCCAAATCATACGGATCATGAAAAGTTTGTCGTCGTTACCTAATACCAATTATCATGTACATGTTGGATAGGCTGAAAAGCAAACAACACCATTTAGTTAATTATTGATTAAAAATGAAAAAAAATACAAAGACTTTTTGTTTCCATCATCCCGACTATAAAATATTCTATTTTTACAAAAAAATCAATAAATTAATTGATTACAGTCGCGTGCTCCCGAAATAATGTGCTGTTCTATGTTTTTTTGGCTGTATATGTGTGCTCCTTTGCAATTGAACTAATACTTTTACTTCAAATAAAGACTATGAGTTAGTGATTGGACTCGAATCAACTCGTTTTGACTCGAGTCAAGTTGAGTTATAATTTTTCTGACTCGAAGAGTACTTGAGTCAGAATACGAGTCAAAATACGAGTTGACTCAGGTAATTCGAGTCAAGTAATTTACAGTGGCTCACACATGTAACGGAACACGAAAATTAACTTACTAGGATTTTTATTTCCATGGCTATTAGTTCGAACAAAATAAAAAAGTGTTCATTTGAAACCTTGAAATCACTAATATTTTTAAAAATAATTTAGCAACAGATTCTTTTGTGAAATAAAGTGATTTAAATCAAAATTTATAATTAGTAGATTTCTCACATTGAAGAACTTTTTTTCTATGATAGATTCGAATTTTGACCACTAATTAAAAATGTTCTACTCTATAAAATCTACCTATTTACCAATTTTCATAAAAATCAGCTTAATTTTTATAGATATTTAAGATCCTAAGACCGAATCTATGCTAGGAGCATTAATACATGAATTAAGCTCATAACATAGATTCAGTCCTTCAGAGTCTCAAATCTCGGTGAATTTTGTGATAATTTTTATGAAAATTGGTAAATAGGTAGATTTTATAGAGTAGAACATTTTTAATTAGTGGTCCAAATTCGAATCTATCATAGAAAAAAAGTTCTTCAATGTGAGAAATCTACTAATTATAAATTTTGATTCAAATCACTTTATTTCACAAAAGAATCTGTTGCTAAATTATTTTAAAAATATTAATGATTTCAAGGTTTCAAATGAACACTTTTATTTTGTTCGAACTAATAGTCATGGAAATAAAAGTCCTAGTAAGTTAATTTTCGTGTTCCGTTACATTGTGAGCCACTGTATAACTCGAGAAAACTTGACTCGAGTCAGAGTGATCACTCGAGTCAAAATATCGCAGACTCAAGTCAGAAAATTATGACTCGAGTCAAGTTTGACTCGAATCAACTCGATCGAGTGTGAGTCCAATCACTACTGTAGCAAAATTATTTTTACTCATTAAGATTCTTTGTTTGTTTTATAGATTACTAATAAATAATGACGAATTCCAAGCTTATAAAGGACTCGATTCTGGAATTGCTGTTTTTTAATAAAATCATATGATTTAAAGATCAAATTCTTGAAAGAATCAGATGTAACCCAATTCTAAAAGATTGGTTAACATCCTAGAAATATGTGTTCAAATATTATATGAAGAGCATTTGTGGAAGCACATGTAGAATATAGAGAATGTGCACTTAGAACCATAATCTGAACTCGGGGCCGGATCGAAGAATGCTTTTAGGAAGGGTGTGCACATATAAAGGGTGTATTCTCTATATATTAAAATAGAAAGATTTTAATAATATATGAGCTAATGAAATTTGAATATTTGAATAGTAAAACAACCTCAATTAATACACCAAAACAGCTCTATTATCAAATTATTGTTAATAATATCATTGAAATTTGTAAATACAATCAAAATTTTGTCAATAGTTTTATTTGTATTATCTAAATTCAATTTTCTCAGAACTGTCTAGTTAAAAGACAATGAGTTTCTATAATTAATAAGTCAGAAGTTATGTATTTATTTGATTATGTTTTATTTATTTATTAAGTTGGAACACGATCAAAAATTCTCAGCTGCCTCTCGTATTAATGAATTGACAGTCAAATTCCAAGATATCCAAAATTGAGAGAACACTACTAAATTGAGCGCAATTCCAAGATATTGATTTGGGGTAAGACTCGCTCACTCCCGATTTCATTAAATTGCATAGGCATTAGATTGAGCCCTGACTGTAAATTTTTAACGGAAATTTTAATTAAAATACAAAAAAAATTATACTCATGACAATTCCGAATTCTGATGACATCGAAGGTATTAATTTTCTATTTCAATAGATGATTGTGAATAAGTTAAATAAAAAAATTATTAACATAATATGATATCAACAGAATTCTACAAAAAGTTGCTTCAAATAATTTTGTATATATGCATTTTGCGAAAAAAAACTATCAAACACATGGTTAATTTTGACAAATCTATATGCATTTCATAAGAAACAATTACTTGATTTTACAGAATGTTCTCAGATAAACAGTAAATTACCGTGGTGATGGCTGGTCCAGCTACTTTCCAAAATAAATCCGTGCAGTAAATAATGATTCCATTTGCCTATTTGAAAGTAAATTTAAAAAGCACAATACTCATAGATCCAGTTTCGCTATTTTCGAAATATTTAAAAGTCTTTGTGTTATGTCTATCCTCATTTTAAAAATATTCGAATTTAAAAGAGATTCAAAGTTTTGACGACAACAGATGATAACAGGCGCAAGCACATTAAATATAATAAAAATAACAAAAATAAAACTTGATTTGCATGCACAAACCTATGAGAAATTTCCCCTGTAAGAATTACAGGTATTTCCCCCTGTAAAAATCCTGTAAGTCGCTACAAATTACAGGTGGTTACAGTTAATTGCATTATCTACTTAATTGGGTTTACATATTAGATACAGGACATTCTATACATCAATCGCAAATTACAAGGTCTTTGTAATTGGTATACATGTATATAATGCAGTTGTATGTAATGCTCAGTGAGTAACTGTAACCACCTGTAATTTGTAATGGATTACAGAACTTCTGTAGGAAACACTCGTAAACTACAGGAATGGGAGGATTTCTTATAGGAAAATATTTCAAATTAGTTTAAATTCAATGTAGAAAGAAAATAAGTAATTTTGATGCATTGGCAATTTTATATTTATTTCGAAATTTATGTTGTGAAATTTCAAGCAAGGATATTATTTGAAAGAAAAAGTTAATATGATAGCTTCTGATGAATTTACAGTCCATTCTATTTCTTTAAGATGTCTCATAGATATCTGGACAATTTTTTTGGTTAATAATGCCAGCATGCTTGATAAAGCTCAATGTATTTATCTGGAGTTCTATGAATTCTTTGTTCTTTTTCCAGTAAGAAAGAAAAGAGTATCAGTTGGCGGGTAACTGGATATAACCCAAAATAGCACAAAATAGCACACCAAGACTGAAAATAATTTATCATTTCGTCTATATTTTTAAAAATACCAGATTATTGTACATAACAGTATACCCAGATAGCATAAATTTAAATTTCCCTTATCGTTATAAGGATATTATTATAATTCATTTTTAAAAAAATCAACGAAACATTAGAATCACTAAATACATAGATTAAAATATGATCCGAAAATAACATCAAAACGCCTACAAAATCTCGATGAATAATGCCTGCGCTATGTATAAATTTATTCTTGGTGAGCTGCATTCTCTGAAATAGGATCTAAGAATACTTTATTTAAGATAAATTTGACGAAATTGTAAGGATAAAGTCCAAAAATAATATATTTAACCTTTAGTAATTCTGTAAAAAGAATGATATGGTGCACAACATCTAAAGTCAAACGTTTATAATTGATAAACTGCATAAACTTCTCAACTAAGAAGCAAATTCAAAATTTGGTCAAGGCTTATTCGACCACATTTACAGATTGAATTTTGAATTTACTTCTTAGTTGAGAAGTTTATGCCTTTCATAAAATACAAACGTTTGATGACTTTAGATGCACCATACCCTCCTAGTCTATACTCTAACCAAAACCCCAACTCAGTCTGTACAAGGTATCAGCAGGGTAGAATTTAACGTACCCGGGTATTCTATAACTTGAATTGATTATTTCTTCATTTCAATATGTTTCGTTTATATTAACGTTAAATAAAACATCTTAAAGTTTCTTATGCGGTCCAATCATAATATCATTACAAAATACACTGGTCGAAAGATTTGTTTTACCTGGGCAATATCGAAGCGAAATAATGGTAGAAAATGATAAAGAATGTTCCTTTTCGACCAGTGATAAACATGCCTCAAATTTTTTATTTATCGTTATTATCGAAAATGGAAAACGTTGATTAATTAGTTATAGCGATAATAAATTCTGTTCGATATGGTAATAAATTCTCGATATAGTGGATTTTTTACTAACGCTAATAGATTTTTTGATACACTACAAGAGAGTCACCATCAAAAACGAAAACTTTTGCATAATTACTAGATTCAACTTTGTCTAGGTTAGAAAGATTTTACTATATCATAAGATATACTTTTATTGTGAGTTTGACTATTAACGTTATGTTTAGGAGGAAACCGTCATTGTATGTTACATTAATGTGAATTTTTTTACATTTAATACTGGATTATTATGTTCCGGGTGGGCACGTTAATCGGACTGATGAGAATTTTATGCCTTTCGGAAAACTGTTGCCATCGCAGAATTGTGTACCATTTGTACTATTTGTAAGTTGCGTTCCTTTGCAAGCCCAGTCAGTGTAAAGAACGTAGCAAGCAGTAGGAGGATCGGTCGAAATTGAAGTTATATTGTCAGACGGGTCGGTACCAAAACATCCACCTCCCTTATCACCAGTTTGATGTCTAAAAGCACCATTGTAAACTAAAGAAACGAAATGACATTAGTACGAAAGAGTTTTATATTAACAAATTAATCGAATGTATTGTATATGATCTTACAAATGGTGCACGCTTGAGCATAATTTACAAAAGCCAAACTGGCAGTCAGAAACACGACAAAGGATTGGAGATTCATATTGTTTCACAATTAGCTTTCAATGATGTGAATCCTTTAATTTGTTGAATTGCTTGCGAGGGTGAGGGATCTCCTTTTATATTGGTCTTTAAAGGATGCGTCGGATAAAAGCCTATTATTCCCGAGGTATTATTATTACATGATCGCGAGAATTAAATTATCATAAAACTTTTAATTTAGGAAATTATCATAAAACTTTAATTTAGGAAGTTATCATAAAACTTTTAATTTAGGAAATTATCATAAAACTTTAATTTAGGAAATTATCATACAACTTTAATTTAGGAAATTATCATAAAAAACGGTCCATACAATACGTCGTCATACAACCCAAACAATTCTCGTTTAGGAAATTACCGTGCAAATTGTGCATTGTATCATTAACGTCAACGTTAATATTTGATTTTAAGTCTAAAAAACGAGTACATGTACGTATCTATTTGTGAAAGGATATACCAAAAAGAGGAAGTTTTGAAAGAAAATGAAAAATTTATTTGCCCTCTTGTTTAGCGTTAGAGGAAATTACCATGCAGTTCCCACACTTTACCGTGAACAAGCGATCTTTCTAAATTGGTCAATAAAACTAACCAAATCCGTAGTCTTTATTACACTTTTTTTAAATGACTTATATATTCGCACGTATGTATCATTTCCATCAACTGTATACGTACGTACTCTTAGAACTGCAGAAAATGGGCGAATTCTATATAGAAATAAATAAATTACTATAATATATATAGAAGTTACCCAGTTAAGAATTTTACTGATCAGGATCACTACTCATAATTCTCCTTCTAAAGAAGGATAGTTAGTCTTGAAATTTTTGTCACGTCTCCAGCCTTTGAAAATCGTAATACGTATCCCCGGTCTGGACAGAATGACACAGCGTCAATCATGAAAGGCATCAGTTTTACCAAGTCGACGAGTCGAGTCTTCCATTAAGAAAGAATTGTATTAAAAACTATACCGATATTATTTTATAAAATAAAATTGTGAAGAGCAAATTGAAATAACATCACATAGCGATAGTACTTAAAAAATCAACACGTGTTAACAGGCTTGAATGCCATTTGATATGTTAAGAGCAACTCGAAAATAATTTTTTGGCCATTGATTTCCGCAGGAACTGCACGTGTCAGACACATGATGTACATGTATAATGAGCAAAATAGTTATTGGCGTTACTTGTAAGCAAGTTGCCAACTCAATCACAAATAAACCTTCTTTTGGCTTTTAGTAAACTTGCTGCGTTTATTTTATTTATAAAATTCAATTAGTCTTTCTTTATCAGCTTTTTCTCATGCTGATGACGCACTAAAAATGTCATTATTTCGGCTTTGGTAAGCAAATGCTTTTCTTGAAAGCATACATGCAGATAAAGATGGGTCCCGAAACTCTGCCTAATTTAGAAACCAGTTTAGATTATAGTCCGTCCCTTCCAGGACCCATCATTACATGCTGATAGTCCAAGAAAGGACGCTCAAAAGTCTTTATAGGATGCATTTTTTTTAAAATATACAAAAACGTGCACAGTAATATAATTTTTTGTTTTTTTTCCTTTCGAGCTAACACTGGTCGAAAATATTTGTTTTACTTGGGCAATAACGAGGCAAAATAATGGTAAAAAATAATAAAGTTGCATTTTCACTAATATTTAACCTTGTTATTAACCAGGTAAACTCATTTTTCGACTAGTGTAATAAACCAATTATTTAATTGACACAAGTAAAAGGCGTAAGGTTTATAGTTGTTAAACTCTAAGTAATTTGAGTACTTATTCTAAATTTCAAGCAAGCCCATTAGTTTATCACAAATTTTGGTAAGCTTTGAATAAACCTGACCCGAATAAAATTGGAACCTTAAGCAAACATTAAGTAAACGCGCGTTAGTTTCTCACAAGTTGACACGTAACGATAAGTTATAATGACAACTTTGAAGTGAAAATGTTTTATTATTAAATGGCCGTAGAAGCTCTTCATAAAAAAGAGCAATATGGTGCATAGCATCTAAAGTCATTAAACGTTTGTATTTTATAAATGTATAACCTTCTCAACTAAGAAGTAAATTAAAAATTTAATCCGTAACTATGATAGGAGAGGCCTTAGTTAAGAAGTTATACATTTTGTAAAATGCAAACGTTTGATGACTTTAGATGTTATATCGCGTTTTTATCAGTATGTCCTAGGACATGTTGATGTTTTTTGACAAATTGCATCGGTATATTGAGAGATCGGTTCAGAGAAATTCATCTCTATAACGAGGTTATTATAAAATCATGTGAACCTCCTCGGTATTTGCAAATATATTCTAATAATCAAATCATGAATGTACACGCAATATAAATTATTTATTACAAGATAATTAAGTAAAAGAAAACGCTATAACTATTAAATTTATACCTTAAAATGGCAACTTATACAAAATCAAATTCGATTAAAAAAACGTCAGTATAAATTTTGTATCTCACTAGGATAATCGGGAAATTTAAAATGATCAGTTTTAGTACTTCAGTACATGTATAATCTGTGAATTTTCTACGTACTCTTTTTATTATAAAAAAATAAAAAAATTTAAAAAAAACTACTATGCGTGTATGCATGTATGTGTAGTCTAGTGGATCACATTCATCATCTGTAGGTAAAGCAAGATATCATTACACCGGTAACACTAAATCTTCTTTTAGAAACGCATTTATTTCTTTATGTCAATCTGATTACACCGCCAATTACATCGTAAATTCCACTGTAATTTACACCGTAAATTTCATCATAAATAGGAAACCAAAAATGTATATAATGAGAGTGAGAAAGAGCAATTCAAAAAGAGAGGAAAATTGGTAATAAAGCAATAAAAACTTTAAAAATAATTATTTACTTGCATACAATTAGTTCTTATAGTGTCTTTTCCTTCTCCATCCCAATAATCCATTGTTGTATAAAGGGTTTGTCACTTTAATCCAGAAAAGTGAGGTGCTTATGATTTGAAGGATTTGCCACTTTAATCCAGAAAAGTGAGATAATTGTTTTGACAACCATAATTTAAAGGGTTTATGCTTTTGGTCAAGAAAAAATGAACGAATTATTAACATTCATGAATATGAGAATGAGATCTAACTGATAATTGAACACAACAATGTCCAAAGATATTGGCACAGGACTTAGAAAAACTAATAATTAAAATAAACTTGATCTAATTCATTTCTTTCATCCAAATTACAGATTAGCTGCTAATTTTTATAATTGATCACTGATATATAACATTTTAATGTCATCTCTTTGTGGAAAAGAAAAAGAAAAAAATTAACTTATTCAGCACTCTATATACAATCAATAATCAAATAAACATCTTGAATGATTTAGTAAATTATTAACACATTGATAAAAGATAACTGTGAGTTTGTAAGAACAGATTATTCTATAAGAATATTTTGAGATGTCAAATAAAGGAATTAATAGAGACTTTAGAAAATACCAGTAGATAAAAAGATCAATAAAATGACTGATATAAATAATTTAGTACAAGTCTTAACTCAACTTAGAAATACTATAAATACTAATTTTATTCAAAGATCTAAAAAATTCTTATACTAATATAAAAATTCTGAGATAAAAATCAAGATTTAGTCAAGTAACTTTGAAACTTTAAATTATTGCTCAAGTCAACGAAATCTTCAATGAATGAAAAATTCAAATTGTACAAGACTATCTTAAAGAAATTGCAGTCACTTGATTTGATTAAAGATATATCAATAATAATTCTTAATTAAATAATTGGACAAATAATAATTGGACAAATTAATAACAGGATAAATATAAATTTAAACACCAATTTACATTAAAATTTTGAACTTATCAGAAAGTAGAACAATAACAAGATGAGTTTAAAACTCTAAAGCAAAAAAATTATTGAAGAATATATTAATTAATTTATTTAATTATTAAAGAATATTAATATCAATAATGATTATTTGATTAATTACAAGATATAGATCTACAAAAAAGAACTTAAATCAAAAATTAGAAAATGAATTATTATAAATTCTAATAAAATATTAAATAATATTATCAAAATAATTAGGATAATAAAAAAACTAACTCAGAATCACCAAAATAATCTTATTATTAGACACAAATAATTATAGTCACAGATCTAATCATTATTATTCAAATACTTCAAAATCTTAGTAACTGGCTCAACCACATAGAAAATAATAAGAAAAAATATTATTTACTAAAAAATAATAATTAAGCTCAAAATTAGTTAAGATTTTAGGAATTCTTAAAATATTATTATTACAAATAAACTAAACATATTTAATAATTTTGTTTAAATGAATAATTAAGTAATAAAATCAATCTTTATAAACAAATTAAAATATCATTCAAAATAATAATTCCAATATGACTGCAAATATTGTATTTATTCAAATTTCAAATAATAATATCACAATTATAAATAATAATATCATTTTTCTAACACAAATACAATTAATAATTGCTGTTCTATAAATAATATTAATCACAATAACTATATCATTAGCTAATCAATTTAGTTTGACTTTTCTTATAATATATAAATATCTTGAAGAACACAAACAGACTCAAAAGAATCAGTTAGATAATATTATAGATAATATTTTCTGATTTGTCAAATTCAAGTTATCTAAGAAAATTGAAGAAATTATATTAATTAACAAAAAAAAGCTGAAATACTAATATTAATTTCTTGAACTATTTTTTATAATATTCTTAATGACTTAATAAATATTAAAGCAAATATGATAATTATCCAATTAATTGAAATTTTACTAGCACAGAGAATGAAAATATTTAAAGAAATAAAATAACTACTAAAATATAAAGAAACTTGATGACTTGCAGAAATACTAATCCAAATTAAGATTAAAATAACATCAGTTAATATAAGACAAAAATCAAAATAATATCTATAAATTTTATTATAAATATAAGTATTTCTGAATATATTATTAATTATAATTT